ACAATGACTGCCACCCGGGACAGCAGAAATGATGAGTTGAGGTTGGGATATTTCATTATCCCTCCCTCAGCCCAGCTGCCTGCCCGGTGACCACTTTCATCAGCAGGGCCTGGATGTACTTGTTTATTAAAAGTCCATCTGCCTTTATTTACAGTTTGCTGAACTTCTGGGGCTGCCACGTCCCCTCTGGGCAGATCCTTCTGTGACCAGATCTTTTGTCACTTTTGTTCCTGTGTCTCAGCCTCACCACCCAGGGATCTGAGGCTGCTGCTGGAAGGAAAAACTTCCCTCTGCCTGTGTTGGAACAACTTTCTCTGCTGTTTTTTCCTCTCTGTGGGGAGGGCAGAACATTTTTGGTGGTGTAGAGGAAGGCTGGAGGGAGAAGGTTTCTTTGTGTCAGGTATCTTTTTCTGAATTGTAGGGTCACAGAAGGATTTGGGGTGGAAGGGACATTAAAAATCATCCAGTTCCACCCATTGCCAAGGGCAGGGACTATCCCAGGTTTCTCCAAGCCTCATGCAACCTTGGACACTTCCAGGGATCCAAGGGCAGCCACAGCTTTTCTGAGCAACCTGTGCCAGGGCCTCACCACCCTCTGAGCAAAGAATTTTTTCATAATATCCAACCTAAATCTCCCTTCCTTCAGGGCAATCCATCACAGGAGAACCCACCACATGGATAACTTCAGCTGCAGTGCTGGACAGATACCTTGGGTGATGTGTGAACACACAGGGTGCTCCAGCTTAGGAGACATGAGGTGGTCATGGGAGAGGAGATGGGGGAAACCATGGTCAAAATGATCTGAATAGGAGCTCTTGGAGTTTCTGTGGTCAGGATGACCCTGAGACGTGTCAGAGAGTCTCTTCTCCCAGCCTGGCAGCTGAAGGAGTCAGGATTCTTCTGTTCGGCTTTTCAAGGTTGTTTATTTGCTGTTATCCATTACATTCTTTCTCTGACCTGCTGAGATCTCTCCAGCAGGTTGGGTTGAGGCACACTGACCGCCTTGGGGTGGTGTTATCTTTTTATACTAAAATTACATTATTTACAATAATTTTCCAATACCTATCACCTATGTTAGACAGTCTGTCTCTATCCTAAACCAATCCAAAAATGCCACCATCACCCAGAAGATGGAGGCTAAGAAGAAGAAGGACAAGGCACACCCAAATCTCTCCAACTTGGCTTCTGAACCCCCATTCTAAAAACTCAAAATTCTACTTTTTCACCCTGTGATAAATTCACTAACATTCTATTCAAACTCTTGTGGCTTGTAAATTCTCACACAAAGTTGGTAATTGTTTCCATGGGCTAAAATCAAAGGCACAGATGTTTTAGACTCTGTGCCAAGGTCTCTGAGCCTCCTGCCAGGGTCTCGAGTACTCCATGGCAGCCAGAGGAATGTCCTGTGTTCCAACAAGGAGCCACCATCACTCCTTTCTGCATGCACAAACCTGCCAAAGCCACTGGCAGGTGGCTCCATCCCTTCAGGTTTGATTCCTGAGGCAGCTGTGGGTGCTGACCCCAGAGCCTGAACCCTGACCCAGAGCCCAGCTCAGCAGAACACTCCCACCACCAGACTCCAGCTCCAGGAACAGGTATTTAGAGCTTTTCCAACTGAGGAATTGCACTGAAAAAGTCAGACAGTGAAAGTCAAAAGTTAGGAAGTGGCAGAATTGAGGTCACCGTGGAAAAAAGGAATAATAACCTGTGATCCTGTAATTAAAATCTGGCTTGCAGTGTGTGAGTGCAGGCAGCAGATTTGGAAGTACAGAAGCTGCTTTCAGTCTGGCAGTCCCTAATTCCTGAGACCCTGACACAGCAGCCTTAACATTATGTTAAACCCAGGCTTAGTTTGGTTTGGTTTTTCATAAATTCATGCTTTGGATGACGTTATTTTCACCTTATGGCAGATATCAAGGCTGCAAGGCACATCAGTCTAATATGGAGCAAGAGTTTAGGCTGAAAAGTTTCATTTTTTAAATGTGTGTGACCTGTAAACAGCAAGGTAAAATGTGGATTATTATATTCCTGCTCAGTGGTTGGATTGGGAATACAAACCACATTCCTGGATGCTTAATCCATATCCACAGATTTGAACTGAGCCTGTTTAATTTTAGAAAATTCAGATATTTCTGCTGTGCTGCAGCTGAAGGAAAAAAATGGGAGATAACGGAACACCTTGAAGAATTTGGGCACTTGTCTTTTGATTCTGAGCCCAAAAAGGTTTCCTTTCCAAGCTATTCCTAGGAGAGGAGCTCCCACACACCCTGTGGAGCTTTAATGGGATTGCTGTGGCTGATTGTTTTATGGAAGTGCTTGGAAAAATCTCAGGTCAGCATTTTGCCTTTTGGCTTTTGTCCCACCATGGGGGACTCAGAATTTTTGGGGATATGTAATGGGCTGTTGGTCCAACCCTCTGGAGAATGCCCATTTAAAATTCCTGGTCCAGCATGTGGCAGTGCCAGAGGAGATTTAATGGGATGAGGACTCCTGGGGAGCAGAGAACAGGAGCTGCAGTGCTCCTTTTGCTCTCTCAAACCTGCAAAGTGTGCTGAGAATGGCCTAAATATCCCTTTATAGGTTCTTCCTCTGGAAATACAAAACTTTGCCAGAAAGATGGAGAAACTGGAGTTTGGAATTGGGGTTATCACTTTATCTAGTCATTCCATAGAGAGAAGCCAAGCCCTGAAGTTTTAGCCAGCCTCAAGCTTTGTAACATTTGGATTAACCACATATAGAGATTTTTGGTGTGTGTTTCCATGGATCCTCATCTGCAAATCCCTGTGCACGAGGGTGCAGTCTCTGCTCCAAGGAGCAGGGATGCTGAGGTGTGGGGTGATCTTGGAGCTCCAGCAGCCCCCAGGTTCTCTCACAAGTGAGACTCTGAAGTCTGGGAGCGGGTGAATAATTTAACATCCGCACTTAAGTCTTTATAGCTGCTTTTAATGGGGGGTAATAGCACTGCTAATAACAAAATCCATTGAAGACACCCTGTGCAAGTCCATAACATTAACTTAATGGCAGGAGGTAATTGGCATGCAGCTGGAGCTGTCCTTTTGGATTAACCCTGTGGATTTCCAGGCAGACACCTTCCTTGGAGCAGTGGCCTTGGCAGCGGGTGTGGAGTGAATTACAGATGTGGTTTATGTTAAACGAGTGCAAACCTGGGTGGAAACGGGGGAAACAGCCACCAATCCACTTTTCTGGGTTGTGTTTGCACCTCACAGGTGAGATGAGGGGTAGTGACAGCACTGAAAACATCAACAATTAGCAAGTGGTGTGAACTTCATGCATTTGTGCAGCCCAGGTGTGTGCACACAGATTTCACTGGGCTGTCACTTACTGGGGACACCTGAATTTTTAAGATTCAACTCTCAGCACTTCTAGTCAGCCATTTTCAATACATGTAGAATTATACTCTTTTCTGACCTAGAGATGGGGCAACTGAGAAGTGTTTTAAAAACTTTTATTCTATTTTTAGTCTTATGAGAAAGGTGAGACAACACACATGTTATCATTCACACCATCACAATCAGAAGCTAACTACTTCTGAATTACAATACATTATAAGTATTTATTGGTGTATCCCACAAAGGCAGATGCAAAAAGCTCCTCAGTCTGCAGGCATAACTGCTTGGGGGCTGGCTCCATCCCAGAGGTGAGGTACCAGCAGCCCAGAGACACCACAAGTGTGCAGCATTCTCAGGAGGGACAAAAACCATGGGCTGTGCATGGCTTCCCTACAAGGACAGCCCTGCCTGAGGTGTTCCCCAGCCCTTGGGCAGCAGAGTTTGAAGGGCTGGGGGTTTGGCCCAGGGAAGGTTGTGCTGGTGTGTGGGGAGACAGAGAATTCCTGCAGCTGGGATGGAGCTTTCACCCATCACCCTCCCTCCTCTTACAGGTTCCTTGTGACTCCTCAGTCTGCTTGAGCAACCCCACAGCTGCCAGCAGCAGTTAATGCTCTCAGGCATGTGGTGGGGCTCTTGGGAATGTCCTGTGCAGGGCCAGGAGTTGGGCATGATGAACCTTGTGGGTAACCTTCAGCTCAGGATATTCTCCACAATCCCAATAGTGCACCAGGGCGCGAGCGTGGTTTTCCACTTGTGCCCTCCCAAAGAGCACAGAGTCGACTTTCTGTCCACACTAACTGAAATAAACACGGGCAGGAGACCTTCTTCCTTTATAATGCCTTTATAAAAAGTGATCAGCTCGGGTGGGGAGAACCGACCGGCGCACGCTCACGCTGCCCCTGCTCCCAGGAGTGACTACAAGGAGGAGGAAGAGGGTAGTTTTGTCCACTGGTCTGTGGGCAGAGCTGGGGGGTTCTCTCCTCATGAGAGGATCAGGATATTCTCTGCTTTTCTGGCTTAACATTTGTGGTCCTCTGTCTATCTGACAGGTTATGGTGAGGAGTAAAAACGGTCTTAGCAGATACTAGATTCTGTTCTTCATGTTTAGACATCACTTTGATTCATCCATTTCATGTAAGCTCATTGTTTGTATGGGTTTTTGGCTAGGTTTGGTGAGGGGTCTCTTCCATTGCATGCTGGATCCAATGTTATTTGCATGCCAACTCAGATGTCCCCTCCCCTTCACCGTCTGGGTGCCATCCTCTAGGAATCAGCAGGGTGTCACTGGACAAAAGGGGAATTCTTAACCATCAAGGAGAGGTAGTTAATAAAAATGACAGGTGATTACAGTAACAAACAGTTAGAACTCCACCCTGGCAGCAACTAGCCCAACCTGTGAACTCTGCAACCTTTTAAACAAAATGGACAGCTATTTCTACTTATAACACCCTGCAGCTCAGGATATTCCCCACCATCCCATGAGCCGGAGCGCGCCAGGGCACGAGCATGGTTTTCCACTTGTGCCCTCCCAAAGAGCACAGAGCCAACTTTCTATCCACACTAACTGCTGCTCCCACTGCCCAGGGCTGTCCCCACGCTGCCAGCCTGGCTGTGTGCTCACCCTGTCCCTGTGTGTTCCTGTTTCCCCAGCTGCACGAGGAAGGAGCGGTGCGAGCGCTCCAGCGAGCCGCGCAGATTCGCCTCGGAGATGAAGCAGTGCGTCCGCCTCACCGTGCACCCCAACAACATCTCCGTGTCCCAGTACAACGTTCTGGTGAGCAATGACAACCCCTGCCCCCTCTCTTTGGGTTTCACCTGCATGTGCAGCGTGGTAGGTCCAGGGATTCAGCAGCAAGAGGTTCTCCAGATTCCGTTAACTTCCCCAGTGGCTCTGCTGGCGCAGGGAAGGATTCGCCACAGGAGGACGTTTTGGCATTGGTTATTCTCTGACATTTTGCCATTGGTTATTTTCTGACATTTTGCCATTGGTTATTCTCTGTTTAGAAGTCTAGAAGTGGACTAGGAAGAGTCTTCCTTGTTGTCTGTGAGAGCAGATCTGAAGGGACTTTGTGTCCTGCAAGCGTTTTGTGTTGCCATGGGAGAGGAATTAATGAATAGCTTTAGGCAAGGGACATTTTTGTGGTTAGAAATTGCATTCTAGAAGAAAGCCAAGTGAAGGATGATGTTATGTCAGTGAGCTCCAAGTTCCTATCATTTTGGGTGGAAATGTCTCCTTCTAAGCCCCCAGGAAGTCCACCCTGCTCCAGCACTAGGGAGGAGAGAGGCAGGATGCCGTGTAGAGGAACCTGAGGTTTCCAGGGCTCCTGCTGTCTCCTGTGACTTTTCACATCACAAGGTTTAACCTTTCTGGCTTCCAGCTACTCAGTCAGCAGCCAAGGAAATCTCACAGTGAGTGTTGGCAGAGCAGCAGATGATCCTGATCATCCCTGGACTTGAGGCAGGAAATCTCTGCTGAAGATCTGACCAGTTTGTGGTTTCCCTCCTGACTCATGGCAGCAGCACCAGATGTGGTGAGATCCCAACATGCTCCAAGAAGGAGACAAAACCCCATTTCTCTCAGGCTACCTGTGCTCTTTTTGACCATATTAATTTGGGCTGCAATAAAGTTAATAACCCAGGCCCTGAAAGCTCCATTCCTAGACAAGCTGGTCATTAGCCCCACACCCTGAAAGGCCTAAATGGAATTTAGGCAGCTGCCAGACCCCTTCCAGCAGGTGACAGGTTTGGATTTCTCCAGGGATAATGAAATCAGCCTTTCAAAGCCTGCATGTCCAATCATTGCTGCTTTGTTTCAGCCTCTTAACTTTGCTGTGACTTTACTTTCCCCATGCTTCAAACAAAACTGATCTGAGACATCTTAAGTTCTTTGTTCTTCTGGGAGTTCAAGGTTTCCTTTCCGTATTCTCTCAGTAGCTGTTGAATTCTTTCATGTTGGAATAAATCCTGAGGGACTGGCTGGCTCGGGGAGACTGAAAATGATAACAGAATAAGAGACCTTTTCCTCTGGGTTACCCCCAGGGTGAGTCAGCCCAGAGCTGCTGGGATCAGAAGTTGCCATCATCTGTTACCCAACAATCTGCATGGGCCTTTTGAAGGAAGTCTCAGCCCAGTCCCAGCTAAACTGGTGACCCAGCTCATCCCATCACCAGAGGCAAACCAGGAGGGGAACAAACAAAGGGTTGATGGTGTCCTTGGCAAATCTCAAATCTAGAATGCTAGGATCTTGAGTTCTAGCAAAGTGTCAGTGACAGTGAAGTCTTTCCCATAGAGGCAGAGCAGGTCTTTGTGTGGTCAGCCATGCTTGTAAATTTTGGGCACTAACAGAGCCTTGGAAAATCTTACCTGAGTCTGTTTCACTGCTCTGGGCTCTCTGAGAGGAGCTTCTTGCTGAGGGAAGGCTCTAGGCTGTCCCAGGAGTGTGGGATGTAGGACTTCTGGTCTGCTTGGGGTGTGCCCAGGCTCATGGAGCTTGTGGGTAAGCACTGCTCTGCCCACCAGACAGTATCATCTTCTGCATGGCACAGCTTCCACCTGCATCACCCATCCCCAGAGGGAGATTTGTTAACAGGACAGATTCCAGATTCCACTGCTAGCAGGGAGAATGAATTCAGCCTCAGTGCAAAACCCATCCAAACAACCAAACCTTTTTCCTGTTCCCCATCCGAAACAAAAAAATAATCACCTTTCCCACTGCCATTCCCATGGCCCCAGAATTTTGAGAGAGATCCTACTCTCTCAAAGGCTTAATGGCATCCAGGGCTAAGGCCTGTTTGCTCAGCGTTCCTCCCTGATGGTCCTCAGTGTGGAGAAACAACTCCAGCCTTTCCCTAAGAGAGGAAAGCACAGTGTGTGGGAGCACTGAGTGTCACCTTCTCATCTGTCCTGCTTTGTCACCTGGACTGACCCCTGTTCTTTGTGCTGGTACAACAACAACCTCAGCATGCACCTGTGTCTCCTTTCAGTGCCTGTCACCTCAGAGGGACCTCAGCCAGCTCAGGGATGAGGCAAGTGTGGAGAATATCTGCATTTGAACATGTGCTGAGTGGTTGGCTCCAGTGTTTGGTCACAAAACCACTAAATTTACACCAATTACCAGGTGCTGGGGTCCCCTGGGGTGCCCTCTGTGTTCAGGCATGGCCTGGTGAGTTGAGCAGGACCCTCAGTGATGGAGAGCCGTGGGACAGGATCTTTGTTTGGGAAGCTGGCAGCATGACTGTGCTCTTCCAAAGCATGGACATGGTGCAAACCAGCCCTGAGATTCATTTTCCCATGACCATGAGCAATGCCAGAGAATGCTGTGAACTCTGAAAACATGGGGAAATCCTCCTTCATGGTTTTTTTTCCCATATGGAACCCCAGGATAGCACGAGGAGCCAATTGGTGGGATGGGCAGGAGAGGTTTCTGTGCCTGCAGAGACAGGGGATGTTTTTGTGGTGGACTGAAGGCTGTTGTGACCATGTTCGCAGGGGTCTTAGGTTGAGGGACAAGACAAGGATCTGACTCCATGTTTCAAAAGGCTGATTTATTATTTTATGATATATATTACATTAAAACTGTACTAAAAGAATAGAAGAAAGCATTTCATCAGAAGGCTAGCTAAGAATAGAATAACAAGGCTTGTGGCTCGGACTCTCTGTCCGAGCCAGCTGGGCTGTGATTGGCCATTAATTACAAACATCCAACATGGGCCAATCAAAGATCCACCTGTTGCACTCCACAGCAGCATATAATCATTGTTTACATTTTTTTCCTGAGGCCTCTGAGCTTCTCAGGAGGAAAAATCCTAAGGAAAGGATTTTTCATAAAAGATGTCTGTGACAGGCTGTAACTAGACTCTCCTCACACAGGAAACTTGGGGACAGAGTGCTCCCCCCTGCTGGTGCTGGCAGAGCAGCCCGTAGAGAGTTAGACTGGAGCGCTCCAGTTTCTCTGGAGTCTGCAGAGTGCCTCTTGTGAGTAGCAGTCACCTTCCTCAGAAACCCTGGGGGCCACCACAGCCCTGGGACCCACGGCTGGCTCCAAAGGCTCCCTGCCTAACCTGACACCTGCATGACAGACAGCGAGCACTCCCTGCCCTGCACCTCCCAGCCAGCAGTGGGACACTGTGCAGGTGTCCCTGCACAGCCACCTGCCACCTGTGCCAGCACCAGCATCTCGTGCCCTCCCCTCCTCACTCGTCCCTCTCCCCAGTCGCTGCTTTCTGCTGAAGGAGGATGCTCTCTCTAGCAAGAGGCTCTTTGTGCGACCTCTCCAGTGTAATTCTCTCCTGCTGGCCCAGCTCTGGTGTTTGGCTGAGTGTTCTCTCTTCTCTCTTTTTCTGCTTCTCCTTGTCTGCCTCCATCTCTGCCTGCAGCTGGTCCTGGAGACCTACAACGTCCCCGAGCTGTCTGCAGGAGTCAACTGCACCTTCGAGGACCTCTCGGAGATGGATGGGCTGGTGGTGGGCAGCCAGATCCAGTGCATCTCTCCAGCTGCCAAGGAGGTGCCCCAGATCATCACAGAGAATGGTGAGTACCCCACAGCTCCTCCACCTGCACCTCTCCCTCCCATCCTCACTCCACACCCTGTGTGTCTGTCCTTGATGCCCTGTGAATCTGCCCTAGAGCAGAGGCTGGGCAGAATTCCATAATAAAGCAGGGATTTATGGAAAGCATCTCCTCCATGGCTGCACCTTGGGCAGCACCAGAGCCCAGCCAGGGCTGCACCCAAGATGACCCAAAATGGCCCCAAAATGCACGAGCGCTCCCGGGGTCTCTCCCTGGGATCAGTTCTGCTCCATTTGCACCTTGCAGTTCATTGTCCCATTCCAGCTTCAGCCCAGGCAGTCCCACCCTGCTTGTTTTTCTCTCTGCAGCCCACGGGGTTTGTGCTCCTGGGCTGAGATTTGGCTCATTTGTCCTTGGTGCCCAGCTGGAGCAGGAATTGTTTTGTCTCCCTGCTCTGGGAGGAGAACTCACTAATATGAAGCTCAGACCCACACACTACAGTAGTACAGAATGTGAAAAATATAAAAGCTAAAACTTGAGGCATCATCCTGCATCTGCACAAAGCAGGATTTGGCTCATGAGAGCCTGAGGAGAGGGCAAGGAAGGCCTGGGAGCAGGAGAGCGCATCATGGCAAAGTTTTGTGGATGTGAGAGTGTTTCAGAAGCGCCAACCTTGATCTGCAGCCCCAGCACCTGCCCTGAGGTGCTCCTCTGTGTGACACAAGGTGTTTGCAGGCTGCCACCGAGTGGCAATTGCACGAATCCAGCAGAGACACGACATGGATGTGAGATACTCCCTCTCCTTTTGGCCAGGCTGGAGTTGCACACCAGGGGTACAGGCTTACAGGCTCCCAACACATCCCATCCCATATAACAGACAGAAATTCCTGCAGAGCTGGACAATCCTGTCTGTAATTTCACCCTGCTCCTCCCAGATTTAAGTCTGTGTGCTCAGCTCTCTGTCTCTATTCCCATCCTTTACTGCCTTCAGCTGTTCCAGGTTTGCTTCTGGCTCCTTCTCCCACAGTGGTCCAGCACAGAAAATTGCTTTGTCTCCAAGGGTGCTTGTCCTGTCCACAACTTCCGGCACTTTTTCTTTCCCTCTTCTAACAAACTTTCTGGGTAATTTCAAGAATTCCTGTGGCTCTTTACAGGGACTTATTACAAAAACCTTGACCCTGCTATCACCGCCATGAGACACAGAGAGGATGCTGCCAATTTTTGTCCTTGGCATCCTGTGAAAATTTGCTGTAAAATTTGCCTCTGGGGACCCTCAGACCGCAGAAAATGAGGTGGCATGAACTGTCACCATCACCTGTGCTCTGCCTGAGCAGCACACAGCTGCTGTGCTCTCCACTGCAGCCCCAAAACAAGCTCCCAGGAGGCTGTCACCACTTTCAAGTCCCACTGAGTTATCAGTCATGTTTGCTGACCAAGACAGGCACCAGAAATTCTTTCCTTGCTATGGACATCTGTCCCAGGCCATGCTATCATCAACCAGCAAACAAAAACAGCAGGGAAAGGTGGAGACAGGAAAAGAGGGAGAGATTTATCTGCTTTCAGGGCCCCGGCAGCTTGTCTCAGCTTCAGAGGCTGCTGCTCTGCACCTCTGCAAAAATATAGTTCTCCCTGGATTTGAACCAAAGGATGTGTGACTATCACACCTGAAGCCATCCAATCCTCATATCCTGGTTTAAAATATGTGCAGGATGGTGGCAAAGTTGTTAAATATGGCAGAGCAGATGTGCAGCAGGGCCAAGCAAGATGTGTCCAGTGGAGTGTGTGGGGTGTGTGTGCCCCAAGGTGGGTGAGTGAGCACCAGGTGCTCGTTGTGACCCCTTCTCAAGTTCAGTCTGGCCTCACTGATTAATGAATCTTCCAGGTGAGGAGGAAAATTATACAATTATAGACTGGTTTGGGTTGGAAGGACCTAAAAGATGATCTCATTCCAGCCCCCAGCCATGGGCAGGGACACCTTCCACTATCCCAGGGTGCTCCAAGCCCCATCCAACCTGGCCTGGGACACTTCCAGGGATCCAGAGGCAGCCACAGCTTCTCTGGGCAGCCTGTGCCAGGGCCTCACCACCCTCACAGGGAAGGATTTCTTTTTAATATCTCATCTAAATCTGCCCCCTTTCAGTTTGAAGCCATTCCCCCTTGTCCTATCACTCTGTGCCCTTTTATAAATAACAGGGGAAGGGCCACCCAGGTAAATCTTGAATTAAACCTGGGTCACTTCCACTGCACCCATTGATTGCCCTCTCTGAACTGTGGGGAGAAGCAGCAGCTGACTGCCCAGCTTGGGAGCAGTGGGAAAAGGGATGGGGAAATGGTGTGGAGGAGCTGAGGTGAGAAGGGAAAGCTGCAGAAATGGGTGGATCCCCCTGGAAGTGCAATGGATTTCACATCTCTCACACTGAGATGGGTTGTTTGCAGCCACAGGCTGAGGGGAATGGAGCTTGGGGTGAGTGGGCTAAGTGAACATGGAAGGAATGTCCACATGCCCTTTTTCTGTGGGAATGTTGAGTGAACCAGCAGTATAGAACAACTTTAAGGACAAAATTATATTTTAATGGCCTCTAAATTCCGGACATCTCACTCATTCTTTGAGCTTGGTTCTCCTACCTGATGAATTCAGTCACCACATTTTTGAAATTAGATCTGCTGTCACCCTCCAGTCCAGACTCTGCTACCAGGCACAAGAATTTCAATTTCCAGTGGCAAAAACATACTGTGCCTGTGGGAGAACTGGGCTCTAGAAGGAGTTTATAACACTTTTTACATCTATTTTACATCTGTACTGATGTAAAATGTGGGACAGCTCCAGGCTCAGGCTGGTGGCCTGGCCAACAGGGCTAACAGAGCAGTCATACCCTGATGTGTGACGGTGTTCACAGGGTTCTTGGATGAGGGAAGAGATGAGGATATGACTCCATGTTTCAGAAGGCTGATTTATTATTTTATTATATATATTATATTAAAACTATACTAAAAGAATAAAAGAAAGGATTTCATCAAAAGGCTAGCTAAGAATAGAATAACAAGGAGTGACAAGAAAAGCTTGTGGCTCGGACAGAGAGTCCAAGCCAGCTGACTGTGATTGGCCATTAATTAGAAACAACCACATGAGACCAATCACAGATGCACCTGTTGCATTCCACAGCAGCAGATAACCATTGTTTATATTTTGTTCCTGAGGCTTTTCAGCTTCTCAGGAGGAAAAATCCTAAGGAAAGGATTTTTCATAAAAGATGTCTGTGACACTGATGTGCCTATTTTTCCCCCAGGTGACCATCACATTGTCCAGCTGCAGCTCAAGTCCAAGGAAACAGGGATGACCTTTGCCAGCACCAGCTTTGTCTTCTACAACTGCAGCGTCCACAACTCGTATGTTCAGTTCCTTTGGTACCTGTTTCTCGTGTCCCTCAGGAGGATGTTAAAGTGTGGAGGTGACCAGGGGCTGGGGTCACTTGTGTGATGCCCACAGTGGTGGGTCCCTCCTGAGACGACTCAGAGTGTGGGGACCACTTAATCTGCAGGCAGAGCATCAAATTAGGAGCAATTTGCCACAGAATTGAGTCAAAACTGAATTGTGCTGTCAGCACATGTGACGCCAGCCAGGGTCTCTGTGCAAATCATGAACGAGATGGGGCTGCTGTGGAACGTGCCTTGAGCTGTTTTATTTTTCAGCATCAGCCTCATTCCATGGTTATGACAATGGGAAGATGCCAGCAGCTTGCATCCCAGGCAGCAGACCAAGAAATTAATGTTACAACTTACTTTATAAGTTTTTTGACCAATCACACAAAGCAAAAGCACAATGACAGCAATTCCATCCAACCACTGTAAGCACGGGTACCTTTGGTTAAACAATGCTTGCTTATTTCTAATACAATACCTGCTTGTAAGCCTTAAAACACAACGCACAGAGCTCCATTATTAAGTTTCTAACTTCCTAATATCTTGCTAGATAAACTTTTCTGCAGCTTAGGGAGTTATTCTAGACAAGTGTTAATGCACAGACCATTGTTCTATTTGTCCTTGCTTCTCTACTTTTTAAATAATTTTTCTGCTGACCAATCTCATGGCTGCTGCTTAGCTCTAATCACAGTTCTGCTGCCTCTGAGGCTGCCTTTAGCAGGTTCCCAAAACCTTTTAATTTTGTGGATTCCCACACATATGGTCCCCTTATTTTGGCTCCTCATATGCACCTCCAGCCCTCATCCATGCTGCCAGTCCCACCAGTAGCCCACCCCAGATGGTTAACATAGACTTAAACCCCCCAACCTGGAAAAATAAAGCTTGTGGTTCCTGCAGGACATGCACTGAGCCCAGCTCATCCCTAAAGACCAGGTTCCCATGATGTGAGCACCTTCCCTGCCTCACACCCCATTTTTCTCAGATTTTGCTGCCACCCAGGATCTGTCCCAGTGGAGCAGACCCCCAAATACCTGCAGAAGATGCCCTTGCAGCAGGCTGCTCCAGCCCTGAGCAAGGCTGAGTGGCTCTGTCCCCACCACTGAGCCGTCACAAGTGCCAAAAGCAGATAATTACTGCGGCTCAGCAATTCACAAGGAAAGGCAAATCTTATTTCCATGTTCCTGCTGCTTTGACAAACAGTGTCAGAAAGCAAGTGTTGGGGAAGGCGGGGGGAGAGCAGCAGAGATGGTGCTGTTAAATATTTATGGCGTGTTTTGGTTTCTTACTTGACAAACTATAATACGCTATCCATTTTTAATTCGATATATCAGAGCAAGCACTTGTTACCAATTTGAAGAATAAGTTGCTGTACCAGAGCTGAGAGTGGATTGGGGTTGAGAAAGATTTCGCAGAGACAGGAGAGAGGGGGTGTGTCTGCCTGTTGGGCTCACACAGGAGCTCTGGAGTTTTTTCTCTCCTGCCCATTAAAAACCCAGAGGCGTAGAAGGACCAGGAAAATTCGCTTCCCTGTAGTCTCCTCAAGGTACCCTCCAGGTACTGCAGCTGCATAGAATCAGAAAATTTTAAAGGTTGGAAAAGCCCTCTGAAATAGTTAAGGTTGGAAAAGCCCTCTAAGGTTAGGCCCTCTAAAAGCCCAAGCTAAAATTGTTAAGGTTGAAAAAGCCTTCATAGAATCACAAAATTGTTAAGGTTGGAAAAGCCCTCTAAGATCACCAAGCCCAAGTCGACCAGCACCACCACCACGGTCACCATTAAACCTTGTCCCCAAGTGCTTTTTGACACTTCCAGGGATGGTGACTCCACCACTGTCCTGGGCAGCCTCTGCCAGTGCTTTACAACACTTTCCATGAAAAAAAATTTCTAATATCCCATCTAAACCTCCCCTGACACACTTGAGGCAGTTTCCTCTCATTTTGGCACTTGTTACCTGAGACAAGAGCCTGGCTGTCCCCTCCTGGCAGGGACTTGTGCAGAGCCCCAAGGTCCCCCCTGACCCTCCTTTTTTCCAGGCTGAGCCCCTTCCCAGCTCCCTCAGCTGCTCCAGACCCTTCCCCAGCTCCATTCCCTTCCGCGGACACTCCCCAGTCCCTCCAGGTGTTTGTCATGAAGGTCTCCAGAGTGTGAACGACCAGGACTGTGCAGAGAGCAGGGTTTGGTTGCTGCTGAGCAGACATCGCATTAAATTGAAAGGGAAGTGTGATGTAGGTCCAGTCAGTGGTGTAACACAGCCAGGGGAGGTGTTTGCAGCCCTGACTCTGTGCCCAGGAGAGCAAAACCTTGTAAGATGAAGGGAATGGCTCTTTCCTGCACCCAGAGGAGGTGATGCCCTAAATATGCCCTCTGCTTCCCAGGTACTTGCTCCAGTGGTCTTTACTTCTCCTCTGAGATGAAAAATATGAGTGAATACATTGGCAGGAACCTCATCACCCTGAGCAGAACTCACACCAATAAACCTGTGGGACCCAGGGGGAGAAAATTCCCTGCTTCGTCTTTGGTTTTCTGGCTTTGGTACATCCCAGTTTGTCTCTGGCCTCTGTATCATGTGTGGGAGAATTAACCAGACTGGTTTGTTGGTGCCCAGAGCAGCCAAAATATAATAAATATTTATTATTCCTCTAGTTGCAGTGATATGAATACAATCTAAATTATTTAATCCTATCAGACATTTGAGACGCCAGTGACAACCAGCTCAGTCCAGAGCAAATCCAGCTCTTTGGATCAGTGCAAAGCCTGTGTTTTTCTGCAAAAACAATTCTCCAGGCTGTGGAGAACATTTCCCATTTTCCTCTGGGAAAAGATGTCAGTGGTGCCTTGGATTACCTAGAACAGAGGCTGGACAGAGCTAGAGAATAAAGTGGGATTTATTAAAGGCCTTCAATAGATACACCCTGGGCAGCGCAAGAACCTGGCAGAGGCTACACCAAAGATGGACCTCAGATGCATGATGGTCATGAGTTTTTTGGGCAGATATGTTTGGTCTATTTGCATATCAGGGGTTAATTGTCCAATTGCAGCTTCAGGTGATCAAGTCACATTCCCCCAGTTTGCTCCTCCCAGTTCACTTTTGTTTGTGCTTTTTGGGCCTGAGGCTGTGAGGTGTCCTTGGTTCTCAGGGCAGAGGGATTGTTCTGTGTGCCCAAAGTGTGAAGAGAGCTCACAAACACTGCAGGGAGTTCAGAGCCACATACTGATGCAGGACAGGAGCTGGAAAATGTAAAAACTAAAATTTAAGGACCCAGCTGGCCGAGTGATTGCTCTCTGTGTCTGTTGCAGGTGCCTGTCGTGCGTGGAGAGCCCCTACCGCTGCCACTGGTGCAAGTACCGGCACGTGTGCACCCACGACCCCAGCTCCTGCTCCTTCCAGGAGGGACGAGTCAAGATGCCTGAGGTAGGCACAGGCACAGGGAATGTGCCACAGAGGGCTGGTGCCACCTTCACAGAATTCCCAGAATCCCTGGGCTGGGAGAGCCCTTCAAGGCCCTGGAGCCCAGCGCAGCCCCTGGCACCCAGTGCCACCTCCAGGCTGGTTAAACACACCCAGGGATGGTGACTGCACCCCCTCCCCGGGCAGCCATTGCAGAACTTTCTCCCCCTTGCTGGAAAAGCTTTTTGCTGCTCTCCAAGCTGGATTTCCCTTGGCACAGCTCAGGCCATGTGCTCTGGCTGTGCCAGTGCTGCTGGAGACAGAGCCCAAGGGCAGCTGGGCACAGGCACCTTTCAGGAGCTGTGAGAGTGCTGGGGGCACCCTGAGCCTCCTTTCCTGCAGGCTGAGCACCCCCAGCTCCCTCAGGGCTCCCTCAGGGTTTGTGTTCCAGCCCCTCTCCAGCCCCGCTGCCCCTCTGGCCCTGCTCAGTGTGCCAAGGTCCTGCCCAGGCTGAGGGGGCAGAGCTGGCACAGCCCTGGAGCTGAGCCCTCCCCGTGCCAGGGCAGGGCAGTGCCCTCCCTGCTGCTGTGCCCTCCATTGTGACACAGCCAGGTGGCACTGGGTCCTTGGCCACCAGGGCACAGTGACCTCCCTGCTGCTGTGCCCTCCATTGTGGCACAGCCAGGTGGCACCGGGTCCTTGGCCACCCCACCAGGGCACAGTGACCTCCCTGCTCCTGCTAGCCTTGTCAGCCCACAAAGCCTTCTCCATCTCCAGTCCCACTCTTTCCCTCCTCTGCTCGCCCTCCCCATTCTCTCTGCAGGAATCTCCTCTTCTCTCTGCTCTGCCTGACCCCAGGGACCTGATCCCTCCCTCCCTCCTGCACACCACAGGCAGTGTAGTGTGGGAAATGGATTTGTAGAGAATTCTCAAAATTTGACAGAGAGCTCACATCTGTATGCAAACTTTGAGATGAGAAATGCTGATTTAGGAATGCCCTGGAATGGGACAGACATTACTGAGAGAGAAATGGAACTGGAAACAAGTTTCAAAGGGTGGCCTTGCAAATAAGAATGGATGCTTTGGAGAAATAGAACTGCGAAAGATGCATTGCAGTGGGACCCACAAGGGGTAATTTTAGATGATTGGCTTTAAGGCATTTACAGCATTGTGTGGCTAAAGCTGATAGGCCAAGAAACACTTATAATATCTTGTAATTAAGAAATAGTTGTCTTCTGATTGTGATGGTGTGAATTAAAACATCTGTATTGTATCACCCTTCACATGAGACTGAAATTGGAATAAAAGTTTTTAACATGCCTCTCAGCTGCCCCATCTCTGGGTCAGAAAAGGGCATAATACAACAGTGTGTGACCTTGGAAACTCATCACAAACTTCTGGCCCCAGAGCTCAGGGAGGGATGGTAAACACTGGTTGTGCATTTCCTCCAAGAGAGAAGGAGGTTACCAACCCCAGGGGAGAATTTAGGGCTTTGGCCATGGGTTCAGTAGATCCCAGCTGTGTTTGGAACACCTCTGGGGCTTTGTGGGCTTGGTGCCTAATGGCAGATGCATCCAGATTGCCACTGACTGAGCTGAACTGGAGCTTGGGTGTTAACACAGAGCTGCAAATGCTGCCTGGCTGATGTTGTAAGCAAGGAGCCCTTGCAGGCAAGGAGAATACAAATAGGAAACCACTTAATTCCTTCCTGGTGCCACATGTAGTGTCTGTGACATTGCCATTCCCTCCCACCCCTTCTGTAAATGCTGGTGGAGCTGTCACATTTGTGCTGGTTGAGATGTCCTGCATCAGATGTCCTGACCTGCTCTGGCACTGGGAAAAGCCATAAATACTCATGAGTTCTCCACCTGCCAGGATTCAGGATTTTCTGTAGAAGTACTAGAAAATGTGCTGAGGAGCTGGAGAGTTTGATACCCTGAGCTTGGTGGTGGAGGGGTGAGGAGAGGCAGCCCAAGGTTATTCCAAATTATTATTCCAAAATTTGGGTTATTCTAAAGCATTGTCACACTTTGGCCAGTCTTGCTGGCCACAGGTTTCTGTCCCATCCACTCCAGGCACTATGGGAACCTCATTTTCTCACTCAGTGGGATATTCTGGGACACTTTGTCTTAGTTTTCCACTGTGCCATGTCATCACCACCACCACCCCTGCTCTCCTCTGGTGTGCTTCAAGCCCAGGACTCACCTTCCCAGCTCTCCTCCCCTTGAATCCCCTGCCCAAAGTGAGATGCCCACAAACCTCAGTGGATCTCCTGATCCACCAGAAAAGAGGAGATCATGAGAGTTATCCCAGTTTCTTAGGGTAGGGACAGGGGGTGGCACAGCCAGTGCTCTTTGCTTTGTTCTCTCCAAGGTGTTGCTCTGCAGAGCTGAGGAGAGGCAGGAATTCATCAAACTCTGCCTGGTTTGAGCTTCATCACTTCTCTTCTGTCTAGTTCTGTTTCTGAAAGATGTCCTCTTCAGGAGACAGCTCCATTCTGGGGGGGCTTTGTCAGCAGAGTTTGCTGTTCCTCTCTTCTACCCCCTTTAACAGAGAATTCCCTGCTAAGCTTTGTGTACTCCCTTTCTGATCTTGTAAAAGTGAGATTTTCATGGCAGCAGGAAGAGGCACAGACCTGACCTGGGAAAGCCACAACTGATCTACAAGGCAATGACAGCATCATGGATGTCACACTGCTAATTGGGGCTGCAGCATTTCTTTGCCTTCTCTGGGCACAAATGGGATCTCATTCCTGTGGGATCCAACATTTGGAATTATCTGCTAAACCCAGGAACTCGTTTTGCTGTCTGCTCCACAGAGGAAGGAATGGAATGATAAAATCTGCAAGAATAAAGGCCTTGCAACTCCCAGAACTTTCAGAGCTTGCTTTGTGCCTGGCAGTGCGAGAAATGCCCTGCAGCTTCAGGCTCCTTCTCATTCCCTCTGTGTTTGTGCCTCTCAAGGGCTGGGGAAGGATGGCATCACAAGTGCCCTCTGACAAACAGATTTGCAATCACTCTATGGCCAGAAAGGTTGTTTTTTTTTTTTGTTTTTCTTCTTTTTTGTCAAATGGCACTTTGAAGGAATGTCTATCTCCCACGCTTCTCCTCAAAGCCATCTTGTCACTGACTCACTGCTCTCACCAAAACTTCCACTACCTGTTTTTCACTGTCACCTGCAATTCTATAATTTTCTGTCCTATGCACTTTAGTGGGTTCTCTGAACAACAGAAACCATTCTGTTCCCTGAAGAAGCCCAGCCTGGCTCCTCACTGCCAACCCAAACTGTGACAGTGTTCACAGGGGTCCCAGGATGAGGGAAGAGGGGAGGACCTCACTCCATGTTTCAGAAGTCTGATTTATTTATTTTATGATATAAATTACAGTAAAACTATACTAAAAGAATAGAAAAAAGGATTTCATCAGAAGGCTAGCTAAGAATAGAATAGGAAAGAATGATAACAAAGGCTTGTGTCTCAAACAGAGAGTCCAAGCCAGCTGACTGTGATTGGCCATTAATTAGAAACATCCAACATGGGCCAATCACAGATGCACCTGTTGCATTCCACAGCAGCAGATAATCATTGTTTACGTTTTGTTCCTGAGGCTTTTCAGCTTCCCAGGAGGAAAAATCCTAAGGAAAGGATTTTTCATAAAAGATGTCTGTGACACCCAGACCTTCCCTGGTTCCTGGTGGTGCAACATGACTCACTTGGTTGGCAAGACCCAGGTCTGTCCCCATCTTCAGCAGAGCTCAAAGTCACCCTCACTATAATAGTGGCTCTATTTTCTCTGGCCTCTCACGTCCACTCTCCTTTCAATCCTTTCCTCTACCAACATTTGGAGCCTTGGAGCATTTGGAGGATGAGGAGAGGGAAGGTTTTGCCTCCATCCAGGCATGAGTACCTGCTAAGTAAATCTTACTGGGAAGCATGGGGTGGTTGGACCATCCCATTTGCTGTCTCTCCATGAGTTTGCTGAGCAGATTAACTCAGGCATCCTCCCAAAACAAATATTGGTGTTACTCTGTCACATGGACCCATGCCAGAAACTCCTTCCTCCTTCCCTCTGGAGCCATCAGTGCTGGCACACCAAGCCTTCCCCCTCCCCATCACTGTGGCCTTCACCTTCTCTTGCTATGCCCACCCTCAGGTGATTTTTTTTTCTCTATTTGCCTGTACAATATCTTGCCATCCTGTGGGAAGAGGCTTCCCACTCTCCAGATGGTCTGGGTTGCAAATGGGCTCATTCAGGCTGGCACCCCTCAGCCCTGAGCCAGTCTGGAGTGCTCTCTAAGGAAGGTTGTGCCTTTGTGTCCTCCTGATTCCATCATTTCCTTAGGATGCCTCACATATTTCTGAGCTCAGCCTTTCATCTAGGCCTTATTCATGTTTTCTGAAAGGATCTTGGGGTTTTTGCTTGTAGTGTGAGATGCTGGTTAGTGGAGGATGCTGGATGGATGTGAGACTGACCCAGAGAGACAGCAGAAAGGCTTTGGCAGTGACCCACATGGTCCAGAAAACGCTGTCACCTTCCACCCAAGGGCAGCCTTTGAATTGCCTTGTGGATAGGCTGGAAGTGGCAAAACAACCAGAGATGGAGAAAGGACAGAAAATGTCTGTTTCCTCACCATCAGGTCTGAGATATGACTTTCTTACCTTATTCATGTTCTCTGAGAGGATATCAGGATTTTTTCTTGTATTTCCTTGTAGTATGAGTTGCTGTTTAGTGCTGGATGCTGGATGGATGTGAGACTGATGCAGAGGGACAGCAGAAAGGCTTTGGCAGTGACCCACATTGTCCAGAAAATCCTGTAACCTGCCATCCAAGGGAGCCTTTGAATTGCCTTGTGGATAGCTGGGATCACAGCCCCAGGTTGGGAATGGCAAAACAACCAGGGATGGAGAAAGGACAGAAAATGTCTGATCCCTCACCATCAGCTCTGAGATCTGACTTTCTTACCTGTCAGGTGAATCAGTTCTGTCTGTAACCGATGTGGATCAGCCACTCTGGGAGCTTTGGGAA